TGTCTCAAACCCCCCAGAATGGACCCCAAGCCGCCTGGAATAGGCCCCAAACCCCCCCCAGAACTGGCCCCAAAATGTCCCGACTCCACCGAAAGTGGCCTCACACCCCCAGGAGCTGGCTGGAAAGTGCCCTGCATTATCCAAAATCAGCCCCAAATATCCCAAACTAGCTCAAAACTGCCATGGATTAACCCCAAACACCCCAAAGAAGTTGCAAACCACCCAGAATCAGCTTTGATCTGCCCCAAATCACCCTGAACATCCCCAAACTGGTTCCAAACTGCCTCAAACCGCTCTGAGTTAGCCCCAAATCTACCCCGGTTTGCCCCAAAAGGCCCCAAATTCCACCAAACCCTGCCGGGGGAGAGGGGGCTGGGGGGTCAGTGCAGTTTATTGGGGGGTGTGGGTACAAAGAGGGGGAGGTCTTGAGGGGTCCCAGTGCTCCCAGTCTGAACCGGGAAGGGTTTGGGGGGCCCGGGGGGGCTCAGCCCTGCTCGGGCCCGGCCCCCCCTGTGCCCCCCGCCACGGGGCTGTAGGAGCCGCCCCCGGCGCCCCCCCGAATGAAGAAGGACACCGAGCGCCGGGGGGGCTTCACCCGCCGCAGCTCCTGCCCTGGAGGGGACATTGGGGTGGCATTTAGGGCAGGAAGCACCTCGGGGTGCCCTGTGCCACCCGCGGGTGTCACAATTCCTCCCCAGGCTCTGGCGTGTGTCCCCCCACCATGCCACGTTCCCCCAGACCATCCTGTACCCCGCGTCCCCTGCCCGTCATTGTCGTCCCCCATGGCGCCCATGTCCCCGGGACCGCTCCTGTCTCCCCCTCCCCGACCCCATGCCCTCTATGCCCCGGATGCTGGGGTCACCCCGTGTGTGTGTGTGTCCCCCATGTCCCCCCATGTCCCCCCGGTGTCCCCCGTGTCCCCCTGTCCCCCCGGTGTTCCCCCTGTCCCCTGTCGCACCGTCCCGCACGTAGTCGATGGTCGCGAGCCGCTGCAGGCGGGGCTCGGTCACGCTCTTCTGCCGCCGCAAGGGGGCGCCCCGGGACGGCTCGGGGGGCGTGGCCGCAGCAGCGCCGGGGGGCGTGGCTTGACCCTCGGGAGGCGTGGTCTGACCCTCGGGAGGCGTGGCCTGGCTCTCGGGGGGCGGGGCCGCCCCGCCCAGCTCGATGCAGCACTCGATGAGGGCGCTCATCAGCTCTGCCTGGGGGGGCTGGCAGCTCGGGACCCCCAAAAACACCCCCAGGACCCCCCCAGGGACCCTCAAAACACTCCCAAGACCCCCTCCAGGGACCTTCCCCAGGGACCCCTCCAGGGACCCCCAAAAACACTCCCAAGACCCCCTCCAGGGACCTTCCCCAGGGACCCCCAAAACACCCCCGGGACCCCCGCAGGAACCCCCAAAACACCCCCACGGACACCCATGGATCTCCAACCCAATGCCCTGTGGGGACCCCAAACAGACCACAGGGACCCCCCAAGTGTCCCCAAAACTTCCTGGGCTCCTTCAACACCCCCAGTGCCCCCTGCTGCCCCCCCAGCATCCCTGGGGTCTCACCTGGGGGGAGAACACCCGCAGCAATCGGTTCACGGGGGCTCCCTCGTGGTCCCCATCGAACTCGAGCCAGAGCTGGGGGGGCTCTGTGGAGTCCCCATCCTGCCCCTCAGGGTCCCCGTCCTGCCCCACGGCCCCCACCAGCTCCCAGCACAGCTCGGGGTACGTCAGGGACAGCAGCACGTGCTGGGGGGGCACGGGGGGGTCACCCACAGTGCCCCCCTGACCCCCATCCTGCCCCCC